TCTTTCTTTCTTTCTTTCTTTCTTTCTTTCTTTCTTTCTTTCTTTCTGTCTCTCTTCTGTTTTTGGAATTTGGGGACAGAGTCTTATGTAGCCCAGTCTGGCCTTGAACTCACTGTAGCTGAGGATGATCTGCAACTCGTGATTCTTCTGCTTCTGCCTCCCAACTGTTGGATTACAGGCGTGTGATCCCATGCCTGGCCAGGCTGCCCACTTCTTGGGGCATTATAGCAATAGCATTGTGTGCCAGCACTTTACCTGCCTTCTCGAAATCCTTGGAAGTGTGTGCAGGTCCCACAGCCATTTCACAGCTATAGAAGCAGCCTAGGAGGGATGTGGAACTAGCCCAAGGCCTTTCAGCTAATCGGGCACGAAAGAAAGACTGCAAGGCCAGCCTGTGTGACTCCAGGGCCCCAGCTTGCTGTGCCTCCTTATAAATCATAACACCTCACAGATTCCCCAGCATAGTGCTTCAGATGCAGTAAGGAGCCAAATGTGTTTGTTGAATTGATACAGCATTGCCTTAAAAAAATTCAGTCTCAACAGTTTTGTAGAGATCAAAATTGTTAAAATTAGCACTTTGGAGGCTTCACAGAAAATGCCAATCTAACCATTACCTTGATTGTGATACACAGGGAATCTAAAGTCCATTAAAGAGCAAAGGCTGAGTGTGAAAAGTTTAATTGTTCTGGAATCACTCGGAGGTTGTTTTTGTATTGTGGCAGGTTTGTGTCTCTAATTTAACACAGACAAGAGCTAAATGATTATGCATGATGTCCTTGATCCAGCTGTTGGGATGTAGGCATAAATGAAGATGTGTTACATACGCTTGTCATTTAGCAAACAGATACTCGGACCTCTCTGTAGTGTGCATCACTGGAGGCTGGGACCGAGAGGCGGGTCACTTTGACTCAAAGTACAACTTACTAACAAGTAGACATGTTTTAGACAGTCTTTTCCAGGCCATGCTCCCCTCACTTCCCAGGGTGAATATAGCATTTATCCCCGATCTCTCTAAAGGGAACTCTAAAGTTACCTGGCAAATAGGAAACTGAGGAGTTTTTAATAGCGGTAGTGTGCTTTGAACTATATCAGAGTAGAAATTTGTGCTTTTCCAAAATCTTAATATGGAATACTTGTTGTCATATGGTAGCACATGTTGAAATGTTAGCACCTGAGAGGCTGAGGCAGGAGGATTATAAATTTAAGCCTCGTCTAGAGTACATGGTGAAACTCTGCCTCAAAAAAATAGAGTCTCACTGTTTCTTATGGATAAGATTAGCAGTTACTATTGCATTGCATTTGTTTAAGAGAGTTCTTAAATTCAGATCTCATGGTGATTGTTGTAGCCAGAGTAAAGGGTGCTGGGTTAGCGTGTGTCTGTGGATCCATTCCTAGCAATGCTATGTGCTGGGAATCCCACAGAGGATTCACCTGAACGGGAAATGTTTGCACAGTGCCCAAGTTCACCTGGAGAGGAGCTTGTCCTGTGATCAGTGCTGCTGTTGTAAATTGTCTCAGGGAGAGTGAAGAAAATGCCTTCTAAAGAGAAAGCACAGGTAATACAATATACACAGCCTTACGCTCACTGTTACAGTCTACACCCCAGCCTGTTGCTTTCTGATCAGATCCAGTGGGCATGTATGGTAAACAGTTCAGGAGTCATTCAGTGTCTGCTGAGAAACAGAGAGCAATGAGTCTGTTCTTTTCCAGGCCAAAGCTTACCTGCGTATTGCTTCAGAAGTGGTAAGAAGATTGAAATCACGTCCAGAATGATTCCCAAGTGCCCTGGAAATTGTCCCGGTATTTGATAATCATGAACTGTCAAAAATGAGTGTTGTGGTAGTGTGGAACCCATAAAATAATGACAGTTCTGATTGTTTTGTTTCATTTCTAAAGAAATAATGTCTCATTTTCAGATTTGATTTGACAACCTACGACTCGCAAATAAATGTTCATGTGTGTGTGCTGGCTGCTGTATGATGATTCTGTATTTGGGGTCTTGACAGCTGGCATCTCAGCTGCACTGCATGGCTTTCATTGAACCATCTCCTGAGAAACTGTGACTTCCTGATGCTGCCATCCCAGGTGTGCAGAGAACGGCTGGAGCGCAGTATGTCACCCAAAGGGCTCACTAAATGTGGATGTGGATGTAACACCTTACCACCAGGCAGTGTGGATCTTGCCTATAGTCCTGTGTTAAACATGTACTTGATGAAAAGGACTTCTACTTCATGTGGCACAGACTTACCAAGACTTAATAAATCTGAATCTCCAGGATGGGGTCAGGACGTTGATAATGATTTGATTATGATAATGTCTTTATCAGTGTTATATTGCTATAGAAAGACACTATGACCATGACCATGGCAGATCTTATAAAGGAAAGCATTTAATTGGGGCTTTCTAACATTTCAGAGGTTTAGTCCATGATCAGCATGGCAGGAAGCATGGTAGCACATAGGTAGACATGGTACTGGAAAAGGAACCAAGAGTTCTACATCCAGATCAACAGGCAGCAGGAAGAGCCAGACACTGGGCCTGGCTTGGGGTTTTGAAGTTCCAAAGCCTACCCCCAGTGACACACTTCCTCCAACAGGACCACACCTACTCCAACAAGGCCGTACCGCCTCATCTCTTTCAAATAGTGCCACTCCCTAAGGACCAAACATTCAAATATAGGAGGCCATTCTTATTCAGACCACCACAGATAATAAGTATAATAATAAAAACTAACTTTTATCAAGTGATTTCTGTAGCCTTAGACTCTTTCATTTATACCATTGGAGCACTGTTCATTTATTCATTTTATGAATGAGAAATGGAACTATGGTAAGTAAGTGCTTTATCAAAGGTAGTTTCCTTTTTCTACCAGATGCTGAAGCTGGGCTTTAGCCACTTTGGTAGTTTACTGCTAGAGACCTCCTTTGTACAACACTAAACATTTTCTAGCAAAAAATAGGCTTAGTATTCTCTGTGATCCTGACATCTCAACCCCTTCCTTAGGAGTATTTTATGGTTTTCATGTTTCCAAGAATATACTTTGAAACTGTATATGTCTTGTCTAATTGATAGTAAAGGACATCCTAAAGTCAGAATAGCTCTAAGTATTGATAAGAGTGCAGGAGTGCATCTGTGGTTCTTGGTCAGTCATACAGAAGTGGTCTGTGATTCTGGCAAATCCTGTGATGTCCTATAATGCTGCCCTTTAATTGGCAGCTATAAAGTTAATCAATGGGCAAATACACCTTCAAACAAACAACTACGTGGACATTTCTAGCACTATATGGGAGAGCCAAAAGGTCAGGTATTATGCAGTGAGTGAATGTTTAATTGGTTATAAAGCATCTATACCATGAAATATTTCTTCACAGTTGAAAATGAGAAAATGGAGGATTTGCATAACAGTCTCATAAGACAGTGAGTCGTATGATCTACTTGTATGCTTTTGAAATGCAAAGGATGATTAGTTTATAGCCATGTAAAAAATGGGTGGAGACAGAGCATTAAGTTTGACTATAAAAGCAACATGAAGGATCCCAGTAAAGATGACAATATTTTTTCCACTGTAGTACTAGCGATTGAATTTAGGGCTTCGTACATGCTAGGCAAGGGCTCTACCATGGAAGTATATTGATATCCTTCTTTTTTTCTTTTTAATTTTGAGACAAGGTCTCACTGTTCTTCAGGTTGACCTTGAACATGCTGTGTAAGCCAGGTTGGCAGTGAATTTGCAATATTTTACCTCAGCCTATAGCTGGGATTACAGACCTACACCAGTGTAGAGGAATTTTAATCCAGCAACATGACTACTCTGAGTATATCCAAAGACCTTCTAGAGCTGTGTGATCCAGCTGGAATGCAGACATGTTCTTAGTATACATCTCTAATCCAAAACAATGACATCTAATTGAGGGGCAGACAAAGTGATGAATCAGAGAAAGATTTGACAGAATGAGTCAGAGGTAGAATCCATCCAACTCTCAGGAGAAAAGCTATTTGAGAGCAGTGCAAAGAGCAAGAGAGCGAGGGGGCAGTTTTATAGACAGGTTGCAGAGAGAACAAACTAGATATGAGTGAAGACAGAATGAGCTAGAGAAGGAAAAGGAAACAGAAGATTAGAACAAATTTCCAGAATTAGTTTGATGCCAAGCAGAGCAACCCAGTGGGAAGCTAAGAGAGGCCAGACTGAATCAGTGAACTTGGAGAGGAGTTTAAGCCAAAAACTGGCTGAATTGAACCAGCCAGTCAGAGTTCAGAAAAAACTAGAAAGGGTGAGTTTATGCAGCAGTAAGTCTTGGAGGCTGAAAATGTTCTAGGCTTAGGTTAGCAGTTGGAGACTGGAATCTGAGGCCTTCAGGGTCCAGGCTTGCAGATTAGATTGCGCTGAGGCTAGAAGCCTCCAGGTCTAGGCCTAGGGATAGATAAAACAAAGAAAGAAATGCTCTGGGCTCAGCTCAAGCTGTGTATTCATACAACACAGGTGTGGCTCTCATCTCAACCTTTCCTATAAGGAAATAAAAGCTACATTTACAAAGCTGGGCTGGTGGAAGTCTTCTCTATTGTGCTTTTTATTGCTTCTTTGTGATTTTGAGATTGTACTACAGTTTTACAAGCTATTACTCACTGAAGGAACTTGAGTTACAGGCACTTGGAATCTCTGTTTTGCTTCTTAAAACTACATGCAAATCTGTATTTATCTCAAAACAAAATAAAAATTTAATTAAATCTGTATGCAAAGTGAAATGTTTGGACCAAGTTATCCATACTAACTCTTAAAGAAAAACTTGTGGGAATCAGTTTTCTACTTTCACTCTGTGGGTTCCAGGGATCAGAATCAGGTCATCAGGGTTGGTGGAAAACACCTTTACCCACTAAGTCATCTCACTGGTCTAAAAAGCTTTTTAAAGGAGTTGGAGGGGGCTGTTGTGAAATTAATGCATACATAACAGAGCACTGTAGATGGACATTTGAATTGTTCCACTGTTTACTTCAAATCCAACCACTCTGAATTTTCTTAAACAATGTCTCGGTATCTGTGGATTTCTGTTGCATTATTTATTTTAAAGTAGAACTATTGGCAGTTGTTAACTGATAAATCATTGCATTTAGTTTGAAATTCCCAAAATACAAATGAGTTTCCACAACTTTATGGTTAATTGAGCAGTCTCTTTTAGTAGAATCTTGCTGGCTTTCTTGCCTGTTTGTGTTGGAGTTGTATTGTTGGCATTTTGTATGTCCCTTGATGTGGGTGTTTTCTTAGTTTTATGTGGTGGAGATTTCTTTTACCATTCTGTGACTTGCCTTCTCTCATAATGTTGGCTTTTGTTGAACTAAAGATCTTCCACTATTTCAAATTTCCATTCTTTTTCCTACATTGTTGACTTTAGTAATATATCTTAGGGCCTGTGAAAACACAGCTTTGGATGGATGTGGTTTGTTGTTGTTCTTCCTTATGGAGATCTGATTTTCTAGTACCACTGGCAATGTCTTTTGTCCTTTGCCACCACCATCTATATCAAGTCAGTGGCTATTTAGCCTCTGTTCTAGTCCACTGGGGTATATGTTTGTCTTCATCCCAATAGCTCACTGACTTGTTTACCATCACTGTGTTCTCCAAGAATATTTTACATGATTCTTTGCCTTCCCATATAAATAGCTTGTGAAACCCAAGTGCAACAACAAAACTGGAGAGACTTTCAGTTGCACCCACACTTAACACTGGGAGGAAAACCTGTATGAACTACAGAGTTTTAGTTTTCTCAAAACTACTCAACAAGTGAAGTTCTGTAGCAACCACAACTGATCTTCAGACTAAATGGGCATGTCTGCCCATCACAGCAGCTCTCTGGGAGTTACCGCATCCTATGATGAAAATGCCTGGCTACACCTTTGCAAGTTCTCCCCACTCCTTCCTCAGCCAGGCTTTCTGATGTAAAACACACGACATTCACCTTAATGAGGTCACTATCTTCTATTTCCTGTTATTTTTAGCTGGTTTTTGTTCTAGAAATAAAATTTGCTATGAAGATAAGACTGTCCTTGAACTGGAAATCCTCCTGCCTCTGTGACCTGAGTGCTAGGATACAGGAGTGATCATCATTATGTAGTGCCTTATTTTAAATCACTCTAAAAGAGAATTGAGCATGTTGAAAGTGATGGCGGCATACGTGCCGTGGTTTAATAACAAGTGCAAACAACATATATGGTGTCCCATGTGTAGCCAAATGATGAGTAGTGAGGGTGTGCTACCAGGAAGCCCTACATGAGAACTTTGGCTTGAACGTAGATCAGGAATAGTTAAAGCCAAACAGTATAACGTTTAGAGCAACTATTACTGTTTTAAAAATAAGATAAGCCAGTAGTAGAGATAAAAAATGGAATTATGTAAAACATACAAACAAACTTTATTTAAAACCAAGCAGAAATAAAAATAAAAAGAGAAAATTGAAAATCAGTAACATGCTGGCATGTTTTCATTCAAACATATGCATAACTTCAGTAACCAAAAAATGTCCAAGCATACTAATGAAAAGAAATTGTCAGTCTGAATAAAAAGACCCAACTCTATACTGTCTAGAAGAAAGCCACGTGTCTCCCATCCCTCTTCCCAGCCCTCCCTCCAAACCCTCAAACACTGTCTCACTTTGTTACCTGGACTGGTCACTTACTCCTGGACTCCAGTGATCCTACCTCTACCTCACAAGCAACCAAGACTACAAGTACAAAATTTTTCCATTAATTTATTTATTCACTTTACATTCTGATAGCAGCCCTCTACTCCCAGTCCCCACCTTACATGACCCCTCCCCCACACCCCTTCCTTTCCACTCTAAGAAGGGGAAGGCTCCCCTGGGTACCAACCTACCTTGGTATGTCAAGTCACTGCAGGACTAGCCACATCCTCTCCCACTAAGATCAGACATGAGGAACAAGATCCACAGGCAAGCAACAGAGTCAGGGACAGCCCCTGCCCCAGTCATTGGGGGACCACATGAAGACCAAGTTATCCAGTATTTTTATTAATATTTTTACTAAATTCTTTGAGAATTTTATACCATGTATTTTGAACATATTCACACCCTGCTTTCTCCTAACTCCTTTCAGTTCCAGCCCCTTTCCTTCTCTCCCCATAACCCACAAATTCCAATTTATGCTATCCATCTCGGAGTGTGGGGCGAGCCACTGGAGTGAGGTTGACCTCTAAGGAGTCAAACCGTTAAAGATGATTGCCTCTTCCTCCCCTAGTAGCTAACAGCTGTCCGTAGCAACTTGGTTAGGGCTGGAGGGCCATGAGTCC